TGGGGGATCCTATGATTCTGCAATACCAATATTTTCCAACCATAAGGGTTTAATTTTGCAATATACCATTAAAATATAGAATGGAATAAATTATCAATTTTTCCCATTTGGGTAATATTCGGATTTTGGGTACCTAAAGCTAGGATCATATTTTTAAATAGCGTATTATTTAACATAAGAAAGCTCAACATCATTTCAGATCCAACTTCGGAGTCTGAAACAATGAACCCCAAAATATACAAAAACCATACTAATCCCAAAAGGTTTTATTATTGTATTTTATATTCTGTCTTTGCTCACAAGGAAATATATCTTTGCTCACAAGGAAAATGTATCTGAACTCAAGTTGAAGATAACCCTTCCTGAAAGGCAAGTTAAAAATCCACTCCACAAGCAGGTATCTGGTTTCCAAGCAGTTTCCAGCCCCATGCTTTGTTCATTCAGCTGACATGCTAACCATGAGCTGGCAGCTTAAGACTTAGTTTCCAAACTCATGATATTTTTTTCCTGCTAGCCTCCAATTTTCATATGACACAGCTTATGTTTCCAAAAGTTTCAGTTTGTCACTCTTCAGCAGCCAACTGAGAAAACCTGGAACAACCATGGTGCATGAGTTTATGGAACCTTGAAATTTGGCTGATTCAAAGACAGAGTGCCTACTCTTCCTAGACTCAGTTTCCAAAGTTAAAATGTTCAGAGAAAAGTATACCATGTATTGCCTTTCAACAAAGGGGAAAAAACCTCCCACATTTAACTTTTTCCTTATGATTTGTCTGCAGTGGGTAAATAATGAGAATATTAACAATATTAATGGTGAGACCCAGCAGAAGTTTCAGTGAATGGCAGAGAAAGAAGCTTGGGATGGGCAGCCTCCAACTAAGCAGAAATTTAACAGTCAAATATACATATATATATATATATATATATTTCTTTCAAGCTAAACCTCAACACTGGACATGAAGAGTGCAGACTTCAGGCTGCTTAGGAAATTAGTAAGTAAGGTCTCCTGGGAAAGTGTTTTTGCAGATGCTGGAGTCCATCAGTGCTGGTCACTTTTCAAACATCACCTCCAAAGGGCACAGGAACTGGCAATTCCCAAATGTTGGAAGTCAAACAGGCAAGGCAGAAGGCCAGCTTGGCTGAGCAGGGCTCTCCTTTTGGAAATAAGGCAAAAAGGTAAGTGGAAACGAGGTCAAGTGACATGGCAAGAATTTAGAGATGCTGTTTGCTCGCTGCAGGTAGAAAATTCATGTGGCCAAAGCTCAGCTGGAGTTGAAGCTACCAGAAATGTGGGAGACAATAAAAAGAGGTTTTTCAAGTACATTAATGGCGATAGGCTGTAGAGCAATATCATCGGTCTGTTACAGGATGGGGATGTTCACCTCCCAAACAGGGACAGAGACAAGGCAGAGGTGTTTAACGCTTTCTTTATCTCTGTCTTCAACTCGGATGACGGACCAAAGAGGTCTCAGTGTCCTCAGCTGGAGGACCATGACTGTGAGAATAATCAACTCCCAGTCAACCCTGAAATTGTGCAGGATCTGCTGCTCCAGCTGGATCACTACAAATCATGGGTGACCTGATGGGATTCATCCCAGAATCCTCAAAGAGCTGGTTGATGTCATCACACAACATCTCTTGATGGTTTTAAGTGGTCTTGGGAATCCAGAGAGGTCCCAGCTGACTGGGAGCTGGTGAACATTGTTGCAATTTTCAAGAAGGGCAGGATGGAGGACCCCAGAAACTACAGACTCATCAGTCTCACTTCAGTGCCTGATAAAGTTATGGAGAAGATTACTTTGAGAGGCATTGAAAAACATCTGAAAGACAACACAGTCATTGGTCACAGCTAGCACAACTTCATGAGAGGAAAGTCCTGCTTATCCAACCTGATTTCCTTTTATGACAAGGTAACCCACCTAGCTGATCAAGGGAAGCCAGTTGATGTAATCCTTTTGAATTTCAGGAAAGCTTTCAATCCTGTATCTCACAGGATCCTTCTGGATAAAATGTCCAGAATCGACAGTGGATAAACACATCATGCAGTGGGTGAGCAATTGGCTCATGGATGGAGCACAGAGGATAACAGTGAATGCGGCAACATCAGACTGGTGACCTGTCCCTAGTGGGGTTCCATGGGGCTCCATCTTGGGCCCTGTGCTCTTCAACATCTTCATAAATGACTTGGATGCAGAACTGGAAGGGATGCTAAGCAAATTTGCAGATGATACAAAACTGGGAGAAGCTGTTGACTCCCTCAAAGGCAGGGAGGCCCTGCAGAGAGACCTTGACAAATCAGAGAACTGGGCAATCACCAGCCATGTGAAGTTGAAAAAGGAGAAGTGCCGGATTCTGCACCTGGGTTGGGGCTACCCCAGATGTTTCATACAGACTGGGGAATGAGATGCTGGAAAGCAGTGCCACGGAAAGGGACCTGGTGTCCTGTTTGACAGCAAGTTGAATCTGAGTCAGCAGTGCCCTGGCAGCCAGGAGGCCCAACCGTGTCCTGGGGGGCATCAGGCAAAGCATCACCAGCCAGTCGAGGGAGGGGATTGTCCTGCTCTGCTCTGCACTAGGGTGGCCTTACCTTGAATGTTGTGTGGAATTTTGGGCACCACAATATAAGAAAGATATTAAACTGTTAGAAAGCATCCAAAGGAGGAGAACAAAGATGATGAAGGGCCTTGAGGGGAAGCCTTATGAGGAACGGCTGAGGTGACTTGGTCTGTTCAGCCTGGGGAAGAGGAGACTGAGGGGAGACCTCCTTGCAGTTACATCTTCCTTGTGAGGGGAAGAGGAGGGGCAGGCACCAATCTCTTCTCTGTGTTGACCAGTGACAGGACCTGAGGGAATGGTCTGAAGTTGTGTCAGGGGAGATTTAGGTTGGATATTAGAAAAAAGACTCTTCACCCAGAGGGTGGATGGACAATGGAACAGGCTCACCAAGGAAGTGGTTACAGCACCAAATCTGACAAAATTGAAGAGGTGTTTGGATGATACTCTTAGGCACATGGTGTGACTCATGGGGATGGTCCTGTGCAGGACCTCAGAGTTGGACTCGATGATCCAAGTCCCTTCCAACTCAGCATATTCTGTGATTCTGTGATTTAAATAAATACCTGGATTTTATATCTTACCATTTAATCAGTTCTGCAATATTCTTGACAGGGGAAAAAACCCACTAACAACAAATTTGCATTTACTTTCCAGTCCTTGATTCATAAGAAGAAACAGAGCTCCAAGTTCTATACAGTTCTTTTATCACTTGCCACTACATCAAGTGTAAATTCTGAAAGCAATGTTTTTCTCCCCATATCATCTTCTGCTGAAAGGAGTTCTGATGTTTTTGCTGAAATGATCTGGAATTCTGTCAAAGGCTTCAGGATAAGCATATTTCAGTCTAGCAGTGAATTTCCAGACAAAGAAGAAACAACTATAAACACTATCATGAGAAAGTTGTTTATAAATCCAGATACAAAATCTATGACAGCTAATGTAGCAGTCTTTAAATGAAGGCTATTAGTATAAATATCAAATGTGGTACTTTTGCATGGATCAAAATTTAAACAGGACAGTGTAAGTAGCATCCTGAGACAGATATTTTCTGTGTTTTTCTCTGTAAGTGTTTGCAGATGTAATACTTCTAGCTGGCCATTTAAAGGCTAAAATTATTGAGAGAAGATGCATTTAAAGATATTTGAGATAGAATGCCCAATTGTTCCATAGATACTTTTATCTTTTCCTATAAACTGTTTTTCTCTCTTTGTATTTTGCCTGCTTAAGCACAAAACAGTTCACCAATTCCACTTTGGATTAATAATGAAATTCTACATCGTCTAAAGCTAACAATATATTTTATTACAGCTTACAACAGAAGCTCATATTTCATCTTCTTTGAATAAATCTCAGACCTGCAAAATAGAATCTCAGACACACAAATGCCTATTTAAAATATGCATTTATATACCTACATACATGCATGTATATACACACATTTATAATTTTCTGTAGAAATGTACATGAGCAACTAGACCAATATATGTAATAGTTATTTAAAAAAAAAATAAATAAAAGTGACTTCAGTGTATCTTGTGAGCTTCTTCTTAGAAACTAGAATGGTTGGGAGGTATTCCGATGAGTTATCATTTAAGCAACTAAAAAAAGAAAATATAATGTATACTCAAAAGATTAATTCAAAGCATGATGGATTCCATTGTTTTTGAAGAACAGAGAGGAGTTCTATCATCTCCCTTTGTTAAAAAAATGAACCAAGAGAATATTTCATTGCTTAATTTTTGTGTTTGGAGGCAGAGAAGAATGAGGCATCAGTAGTGTCTAGGAACTGTCTAGGTCACTGCCCAGCATCACTTTTTTACTGAAGAGCATGTCTCTCAGTTTAGAAAAGTCTGTGTTCAGCTAGACTCTTAGAAGACTCTTAAGTTTACATAAGTCCTAGCCAGCAGATTCAAAGACAGTTACTATAAAAGTCACATAAAAGTCATGGAAGCTTGAAGTATAAATGGGAGAAAAGAGATTTTAATTTCAGGACTGGAAAAGTAAAGGGGTAATGTACTGAAAGGGAATTAAATAAGGAAGGTAAATGTGAGTTTTGAAATTTATTAGTAATATTTCTGCTGATTTTTCAAGAGATACTATTTAAAACCAAGGCAAGGCTTAAAGTTATGAATATCTTAATTCGATATTAATTCTAAGTCTGTGTGATTGGAAGAATCCAAATAAATGACATGATAAATATACTAGGTCATGGTAATTAAACTTAAAGATAGTTTTCTTTTAAAAGGTGCATCTTTAATTTAAGCTACCTTTTTAGACTCAAAATGAGTCTTATTTCTGATAAATTGAATTTTGATCTAGAAAGTAGAAACTAATTACATTTAAAGTGCTCCACTTAAGGCTGCTCATTAATATATTGAGAGTAGAAATGACAGAAAAAGAGCAAAAGAAAAACTAATACTTGCCTTTTTATATTTATTTTACAGGAAATGTGTTTGTTGTAAGCCTGGCAGTTGCAGACTTGATTGTAGCTATCTACCCATATCCACTGGTCCTCACATCTGTGTTTCACAACGGATGGAAACTGGGATACCTACACTGCCAGATTAGTGGCTTCTTGATGGGCCTAAGTGTCATTGGATCAATCTTCAATATTACAGGCATCGCTATCAATCGGTACTGCTATATCTGCCACAGTCTCAAATATGACAAGCTATACAGCAACAAGAATTCATTGTGCTATGTTGTTCTTATATGGGTCCTAACATTTGTTGCTATTGTGCCCAACCTGTTTGTGGGATCGCTCCAGTATGACCCCAGGATTTACTCATGTACATTTGCACAATCTGTGAGCTCAGCCTATACAATAGCAGTTGTGTTTTTCCATTTCCTGCTTCCCATAGCTGTAGTTACTTTCTGTTACTTGAGAATATGGATCCTCGTTATTCAGGTAAGGCGAAGGGTTAAACCAGATAACAACCCTAGGCTGAAACCACATGACTTCAGAAACTTTGTAACCATGTTTGTGGTATTTGTACTGTTTGCAGTCTGCTGGGCTCCTTTGAACTTTATAGGCCTTGCTGTGGCTGTCAACCCAAAAACTGTAATCCCTAGGATTCCAGAGTGGTTGTTTGTATCTAGTTATTATATGGCATATTTCAACAGCTGCCTTAATGCTATAGTATATGGACTCCTGAACCAGAACTTCAGAAGAGAATACAAGAGAATTATTGTCACATTTTGTACGGCAAATGTTTTCTTCCAGGATAGTTCTAATGATGCAGGAGACAGAATGAGAAGTAAACCTTCTCCACTGATTACAAACAACAATCAAGTGAAGGTGGACTCTGTCTGAAAATGGGAATCTTACTGTCATTCAACAGCATCCAAATAAAGTCTCTGTTTTATTAGTTCTACTGTTAAATATTATAGCAAAATATATCTTCTACACTGAGAGCACTTTGATCAAATTCCTTTCATAGTATTTGGGAGCTTGTATACAGGTCCTATTATACAATAGTATGCCTCTTGTATAATGACATAATGATATCCTTGAGTGAATAACAAGTTATGCATGGATACTTTTTTTTTTCCTTAGATGAACACCTAGAAAGAGATTGAGATAAAAGTATCCACACTGCCTAGTGCAGTAAAACAAAACATAAAACTCTTCCTGCCCCTTTCTACCTGCTTTTTCTGGCCAAGTTGTGGTCCTGATTTTAAAACCTGTGGAAACTTCTTTTAAAAGATGTGGAAAAAAAAAGTGAAAAATCAAGGTAATTGAAAATTCATTAGGATTTTTGATAAGTACCTCTATCTATATTACTAACATAGACACAATTATAATTTTCTTTGGATATTAAACCCCAGCAACCCTCCCCAGCAATCCTCCTAAGAATGACATTCTCAATTGACTTCTCAATTTTAAAATAGCATTTAGGGGGAGAAACATGCCTGACTGATTATCTTCAAAGCTCCAAGGGCAGGAGGATAAACAGCAAGGAAAAAAAAAGAGCTATGATTCATCAGCTCGAGCCATTCCAACATGAAAAAAATGTGTAGGAGGGTTGGGAAGAGAAATTTAAATGACCATTATTTCTGAAGAGATAGTAACTCATGAAATAGGGAAGTGCCCCAGAGGAGATTCTCAGGAAACACCTTCTAGAAACATAGGTGAGGAAGACTGTTAAATCTCACTTGCGTACAGGGCAGAAGTTCTAAACATCTGTGAGAAGAAGATTAATGCATTTAATAGGAGTGGTGAGTTTTATCTAGTTAGTGGAATCTTAACCCCATGCAATCCTGGAAAATAAGACATAGATACAGGATGAGCATTTAACATCTTTTGGAAATTGTTCTCCTGAGAACAGCCTGAGACTAGAGGTTATTTTGTAATCTGACACAGATGAGCTTTTCAAGTTAATAATTAGGGGTTTACCACAATTATGAACATGGTGGAATAACCTAGAACAATTAGACGCCTTTAAAAATAGAAAAGAGAAGATACTAGTTATGACAGTGGCACAAGGAGGAACATGTGACTCTCAGGACAGGACATGTTATGTGGACTTTCCACGGATAGCAGGTACCTCTTCAGTGAGGGGAAGTACACTGTGAAATGAGGAGGAATAGCTAGGCTGTCTCCTGCAACAAAAATCTCTGTTTATAATAAAGTCCTCTGGCGGAGAAAAGCAATTCTCCTTCAAATTGACCTTGAAAAAAAGGAGCATTTAGTTCTGGAAAGAAGCTCCAATTGTCATAGCTTTTACTGCTCAAGGGTTTATACATACAGCAGTGTTCAAGTACACTTGAGCTTTTCCAAGCCAATTCCAACAATGTCAGTGGGACTAAGAGTTTCTGAATAGCCATCAGACTTGTATTAATCTATGTGAAAATGTGAATTTTACATAAAGATTTTTTTTTTTTAATATTATTTACTGTACTGGAGATTTTCTTGAGCTTATATGTCTTAGAAAACAACAGTTACTCAACGTCATAGAACTTAAACTGCATACAAATCTAATGGCATTTCATCTTTCTTGGATAACAGATTAGCATACCCTTGACTTAATAATAAACTAAAAGGAAACAGATTCGTGTTTACATGAAAACACCACTGACACTTCATCATCTGACCGGTTTATTACCTTAAAAACAGGTGCCTCATGTCACATTAACAACGGAACTAATGAACAACATTGTAAAACCCTGGATATGAACTAGAAAGTCAATGCACTGCCAAGGTGCTTGACTCATCTTTGTTTACATTTTTCAGTCAGAACCACTGTGTAAATAACCAGCTCTCTTCTACTGTGGTATCATCATGTGATGTGATATGATACAACATGATTAACAGCATAAAATATATCACAGCTTTCTTCACTGTGATTTCATCCTTGGAGGATGCTTAGATCTGTAATTTTATTGCTTTGTGTGTAGTGATTTTAGAATAGCAAGGGAGGCATGACCACCTTACAAGAAAATGAGTTTTTCATACAAGAAAAAACGATATTTGAATTCTTACAAAAATTGCCTTATTTAAAGCATATTTTCAATGAAAATTATGTCTTATGATATATCTATGAAAGTAGCATAAAGACAGCTTAAGTAGCTTAATCATTAGTAAGTTTAGGATTCTCAAAGATCTTTCACTTGCCATTTCCAATAGAAAATGTACATGTGTATCATGTCTACATATTTATGAGCCGGTTCAAGATACTGTATCCAATATTGTGGGTTATCTGAGGAATTAAAATCCCCTGTAATTCGCAAGTGCTAAAATATATTTTTGATGACAATGAAAATGCTTTGCTATATACAACAGAATAAATTATACCAAAGGTATATATTTTATTGGATAGGCCTGTAATAAAAATAGAGAACATTTTTCAGATCTGTATTTTGAAATATTTGTATTAAATCCAAATCATAGAATTTGCATGTTGGTGCAAATTTTTAAGCTGCTAAATATAGCAATAATTTTAATAAATTAATCCCTGGTTCTTCTTTGGGGGGAAAGTCTTTAGAATTTAGTTTAAAATTACTATGGATGAAAAATTTGAGCAACATCTGCTGCCCTCATGAGATTACTTTTGCATCTACTGCCATTCTGAAGTTCATTTTAGATAAAGATTGCAAAACCACTTATTGCAAAAGTGAAAGAATAATCATGTTTAACTTTGCAGTAGTTACTTTTAATCCAAGTCTATTGCTTTACAGGAATTGAAGTGATTCACCTAAGACAATCAGCAGCCTTGTCAGCTGCTCATTGACAACGGGCATGACAATGTAAGTCAGCACCTCACAACATTTGACTCTTTATGGTCAACATAAAGACTGATGAAAATAATAATGATTTCTGTCCATTCTAAGGAGATGGAGTTAGAAACTTATCCAAAATTAGTTGCTTCTGTGAGAGTAGATGAGCCTTGATGTGGTTTTTTTTTTACATTCCAAAACATTAAGTTTTCCTCTGTATTAAAGGCTAGAATAGAACAATTGCATTATTAAGAGTTCTGTCTGGATGATTTAGATAGTGTACTTGCCCTATAGCAGTCATCAGCCCTGGACAGATTAATTTCTAAATTGCGAGTCTTAGGTGTCTGCCACATCTGCGAGGGCCCATCCCTTTTCTATTTCCTATCCATTTCTGGTCTGAGACCCTGTGAAGCCAAAGAACCTCTGTGAAGGAGCAGTGAATGCCCCTGTAGGTAACACACTGAAGACTTATAGCATAATTGACCCCTACCTTATCCTACAAAAATTTCTTTCTTATATCACAGTCTTGATTACACTGACAATCTGAATATGATCTTATATCAACACATCTTGTACCCTTACAGAGAGGTAGTTTTATTGGTGGTCATCTTCATTGCAAACTTCCTGTTAACAAAGAAGCTTGGCAGTTTTACATATTTACCAGCAAAGAGAATCTTAATGAATATATTAATATCAAACAGGGTATTTATTGTAGTTGAACTGTATGCAACTGTATGCAACATTGTAGTTTCATTTGGAATAGCTTGCTTAAGAGTGCTTTGCACATTTTCTTCTACCACTGGGCTAGTGCAAGTGCATAGATATAAAGCAAATATATATCTTATTTCAATAGACATAATATATAGCAATGATTTTACTATTTTTCTTTTTCTTATTATTTGCTTTAGAAGGCAGGTATAGGAGTCATCCATAATAAACATACTATCAATCTGTATTAGTGTATAGTGCATCCTTCTATAATCATCACATCTTTTTCTTCTTTTTGACCACTTTTGAAATGGTATCATGTGAGATCTGATTAATTATGACATACTGCAGGGAACTGTTATTTCCCTTAAATGGCACTGAAATAAACAGTCATAAAAAAATCTCCCTAAAATATAATACACAAGTACATAAGTAGATGTGGTCATCCAGTTTAAAATACTATTTCAAAATCTCCTTCTATTTGAAAAACTTGTTCACAAACTGTAGTAATATAGATGGACTGTTATTTGTTAATTCTTTTCTAATAACTGCACTTTCTAAGTATCATTAATAAGGTTTATGAATAATTAAGAACTACAAATGTCTGTCATCTTGTCACCGAGGCTTGGGAAATCACACATGCTAAAGCTGAATTTTTTAGAAGTAAAAATATTCAAGTAGTGGCCTGGCTTATAGCCCCTGTACTGTATCTCAAATTTTTGCCTGTGTTAAGAATTACATTATGTGGTTTTATGAATTTACTTATTAAAAATATTGTTCCTACCTCAAAGATGTGTCTGAGAGATTGCAATATGAATAAGGTGGAAAAGACTTAGAGTACAAGTCAATAGCTTTTATAATTTTAAATAGAAACAAAAGTAAATTCAGCAAAGATTTACATATATTAATAATGGTCACAGAAAATATTTTCCCAGTTCAATAAAATACTCATCACTCAAACCATCCCTACTACCACACACTGACCAAAGTATGCACATTTTGAAAACCATGTTATTCATAATTGTATATACATATTATTCCAAAAGTTACAACCAAACAGCATTTGAGATATTGTGTTTCATTTTCATCTCACATAAACCAGCGCAGCTTCTCTGTGTCGTGTCAGCTGAGGATATTGACATACTAGATTTCACAAATCTAAAAATTAGCTATTTTACACTATTTACACAAGCAATATATAATTTATTTCTAAGGAAGTCCACAACTGTCAGCTGTCCAGGTTGCAGGAGAATGTGAATTTACCTGCTAATTATCTGCGAATTTAACTTCATCCAGTGGAACTCTCTCTGTGATTTGTCATTTTTATAAGTAAATATGTAAAGTCAGCAGTCTTTTATGTTGTTTCATTCTTACTTGTATAATTAGAAT